ATGTTCCCCATTGACCTTACGAGAGTTGAACATATTGAAGACTTGACAGAACACAAAAGTGTTGAAGACTAACGTCTGTAAGGTTATGGTATCGGTCTTGACATTATCATAACTCTTAAACATCTCCCCACTCCCACTCGTCTCCTTTTCCCACGTCGCACAAACATCACTGAAATCATCACCAGCAGAGCGGTTCATCGTACGAGCAAATCCACATGGCGCTTCTAAGAATGGAATGTAGCGCCCAGCAAACACAATAGTCAAACAACAAGCATATTGCCATAAGGTTTGAGACAAGATACTACGTATCATCTTTGGTGATAACAATGAATTGTACTTCCCAAATGGCTTTCGCTTTAACAACTCTTTGGTAGGTTTCTCAGTACCCAAAGCAAGTGCTGCTAAGGTATCCATAATCATATTCACCCAAAGCATCTGAAGTGCATTTAATGGCGCTTCTCCTACAAAGACTGAACCAATGATACATAACCCAACAGCTGAGACATTCACCGTTAATTGGAATTGAAGGAATTTTCTAATGTTATCAAAGACACATCTCCCCCACCTATTATGTTAATAGAATTATAATTATTTTAATTAGAATATTAGAATACTATTAGTATAATAATATAATAATAATATAAACAAACATTACGGAATTCACAATGGACTTGAAGTTATCATCAAGAATAACAATATCAGACGCTTGTTTTGCTACATCAGTCCCTCTAATACCCATAGCAAGTCCAATGTGTGCATTCTTAAGAGCTGGCACATCATTGGTACCATCACCAGTGACTGCAACGACTTCGCCTTGTTTTTTCAATAACAAGACAAGTCTCTTCTTATCTTGTGGAGAACATCTAGCAATGACACTTAATGATGGGATCTTCTCAATAATCTCTTCATCACTCATCTTTGCAAATGCTGGACCTTCAATTGCAAAGTCGTCATCAGACGAGATGATATTGCACTGTCTAGCAATTGAACGTGCAGTCTCGATGTTATCACCAGTCACCATTCTTACTTTAATTCCAGCGCCTTGACACGTCTTAACAGCTTCGGGGACTTCGACTCTCAGTGGATCTTCAATGCCGAAGTACGCCAACAAGATGCTTCCGCTCTCATCAGCCTCTTCATACAAATCGTCGAAGTTGTCCAAGTTCTTAGGAGCAATGTCTTTGTAACTCAACGCAAGTGTTCTGCACCCCTTATTAGCCCAAGCTGCTTGTCTTTGAGCCAATTCATTTTTAACGTCATCTGTTAATTCGGCAATTTCTCCTGTTGATTTCATATAATGTGTGCACTGCAAAATGATCATTTCTGGCGCGCCTTTAGTCAACATCCGGACTTTGGTTGGTTTTTCTTCCCAGACTAATGTGTTCATTCTCTTCTTTAATGAAGAGAAGCCAAACATTTGGTAGATCTCCTTCTCCTTTCTTAATTGCTTATAATCAACACCTCTGCTCTTAGAGAACATCATTAAAGCACCTTCAGTCTTATTACCAATAACATTAATTTGTCCATTCACTTCTTCTAAAGTTGTTGATGGCGATGAATTCAAAGAAGTGTTCTC